GCTCTGGGCTGAGTGATCTGCTTTTCTGTTGCCAATTTCTATGGTTCTAAAACTGCTGCATAAATAAACACATATACAAAGGTAAGGGCGTAAAACCAATTTATTAAGATTTTATAATAAATGTAATGTATTCCATTCAGCGTTATAAACAGAAACACAATAGGCAATAATAATAATAATCGTTGTATTTGATATAGCGCTTTTCACGTCTTCTCGAAGTCTTAAAGTGCTTCACAGAATATACTGTAAAGTGAATTGACCGCATATTTGTGGGTCAAACGTGGCAGCCAATTGCGCACAGCAGTGTCCCACAGACAGTCATGGATTGAAGTGACCAATTTAATATTTTTTTGAAGGAGTATTATAAAGATAGACTGTGCGTTCAAACACAATTTATTATAACAGTTCATTTAAAGGAATGCTGGGGCTATTCATATGAACCATTGAGCTGAGCTAAGAGTTTTTAATCTTTTTGATTTGGGGGGAAGTTTTTTTTAAAATGACTCGTGGTTTGATCTGTACATTACAATATTGGTACTTCACCCCAAGTTATTAAAGTTGCAACATTTTCCACATAAAGACAGATGGTCAGACTCCAGAGTGATAGTTTAAAAGGATGAGGCTGTTGTTAAGAATGTACATGTGCATGCAAACCTCCTGAACCCAAATAAAAACACACAGAAAAGTAAAATCATCTCATTATTAAAACTACAATAACAGAAGTCATTTATTATTACTTAATTATTTATTTTAGGATCAGAAATAAAGGGTTGGGGGGTTGGTCGTGGAGAAGTACTATTCGCTTATCAGCCAAAGCTGTGTTTTTATGTCCCACTGTAAGGGTGAGACATCGGCTAAAATTTGATAAAATTCTAGAGAATTATATGCAAAAAGTGAGGTAAGTAGTTTTGATGCATGCTAACTGGGTTAACTCTCGTTAGTTGCAGCATTTTGCTTCGGAACAAATCATTTTTAGTAACTTTTAAAAAAAATTCAAGGATGTCGCTTAAAAGCTTAAATTCCGAAATAAAAGCAATAATTTGGAGGAGATTATGAATCAAGCAAAATTTACGTTCTCCTCACCACCCCCTGTCCCAAATAAACCAAAGTATACAAAGGTAAGGTAGTAAAACCATTTCGTTAGGATAGCTTGTCTATATTATATTCCATTCAAGGTTTATAAACAGAAACGCAAAAGACAAGGATATAAAGATAGGCAAGGCAGTGCGTTCAAGCACATGATGGAATATAATTTGCATCCTTGGAGGAGCAGGAATTGAGACACAAACAGGCAACACAAAACGGCGAGTGTGGTGACCCCTGTCTCTTTGGGGCAGCAGTCTTGCACCGTACATACAGTGCAGACAGACTGGATCCACAATTGAAATCGCACAGTAAAGTCCCATTCCACTTCATTAGAGGGCACTTTGTCCCAAGTCAATAACCTCAGCAAATATTAAAATTAACTTCTCTTAAAAATCTTCAAATTAGAAAATGCGATGCCCAGACAAATGGAAATAAACACGAATAGTTTGCAAACATGCTGTATATCAAACGTTTAGTTTCTGAAACCAGTTATAACAAAAGATCATTGACTGAAGGAAAACACCTTTTTTTATTTAGGCTAAATTTAGATGTAAATTTAATAATGAAGATGCCTTGTGGTATGGTTAGTATATCTTAAGATGCAGTTAGTACGAAAGAGCGCACTTTATTCATAGAATAAAATGGAGCTTAGCATCTGGTGGAGTTTAATCTGTGTTTAAATATTTATTATGGATTTTGTGAGCAGGTGTATCCCTGGGAGGGGAAGAAGTGAGGGTATTTACTCCATTCCAGACAGATGGAAACTTCCATGCTTATGTGGAACTATCAGTCATGTGATTTGGAGGTGTTTAAGACTGTGGATGGGGTTGAAAGTGAAGCAGACACCTGGGTGACCAAAAAAAACGAACAAATACGAATATAATTCAGGCAGAAACTAGTGGTACTCGATTTGTAACTTATAATGTCCGTTTACTAAATTAGTTTTTCCCTTCCTTCCTCGTAACGTCTAAAAGAAAATGCCCATTTTCTCGTTTTAAAGAGGAAATACAAAACGTAATAATTAATGGTGAAACTTCCCAACTGAGCAAATCTAAATGCAAGATTTTTAAAATCCTTTTTTTAAAAAAAATCTAAAGGCCAGAATGATAGCACTTTTTAAAAGAAATCACATTTATTTTTCTCTATCTCTGCAGCAGAATTTTAAAGCATTCTGCCCATGGTGGACCTCAGTGTGAAAGGGCAACCGAGAGAGTGGGCCAGGATCTGAAATAAATGCATGAAATAAATAAAATAAAAAATTTGGTCATTCAATCCACAACTGTTCGTGGGACCCTGCTGTGCACAATTGGCTGCTGTGTTTCGCCCACAAATATAGTCAATTCGCTTTACAATAAAATTCTGTGAAATACTTTGAGACGTCTCAAAGACCTGATGAGGCGCTATTATTATTATATTATTAGTGCAAGGATTATTATTATTAAATTCCGCACTTACAACACGTCTCGCCAGCAGGTTGTGCGTGGTGGATCAGAGATTGTTGCTGTTGCATGTTAAGTTGCGCACAAACATCGAGACCAGAGAGTAGAAATAAAATGGTGTATTCTGTGAATGTTTGATGATTATGTTTTCACGTTATGAGCGGTAATTGCATTTTATTGTAAGTCCCACTCGTGGTATGTGTGCGATCTGAACTACAACACTGGTAATTCAGTTTAGGGCGAACCACACAGTGTATAGATTATTTATAAACAAGAGTAAACTCAAGCCATTTATTTTGCTTCACTCTCAGTTAAACATGAATGTTTTTTTCAGTCGATTTGCATGTGGACAGATTCACCTTATGGGAGAAACCCTCAGTGGGATCGTAATGTTCGCGGGGGAAAAAAAACAATCAATAAGGGGGACACTGAAAGTTCAAACAGATCTGTCGGACATTTGTTAAACAGTGAAATGAACTAACATGAATCAAATGCAATCGAAATAATATGTGTATTGAAAACATGCACCACAAAATTACATGATGTTAAAGATGCAAGGGAATGTCCACGGAGATTATACACACCAGAAGACATTAAAATAGATCTGAAACAAATCCGTGTATTTTATCCACAATAGCCTCTTCTGTCTCCAGCCTGCTCATAGCTGCAATGCTGTATAATTCATGGTGAGAAGATTGTAACCTTCTTCGATCAATTTTTAAATACCGTTTATCGCTAAAAAAAATTCTATTTGATAGACTTTCACGTTATGGGACATCTCAAAGCATTTCACGGGATTTACTGTAAAGTCCAGTAACTATATTTCATAGGCCAATGTAACAGTCAATTTGCACACAATAATGCCCGACAAACAGCCATGAAGAGAATGAACAATTATATCTGGTGAATTGTTGGCCAGAACACCAGGAGAAACTTCCTTCACTTGATGAATAGTGCCATGGGATCTTCAAGGTGCACCTGAATAGGCAGACAGACCTTGGTTTAAAATCTCATTGCAAGGACTGTTTCATTGATACATGTCTGATACTTAAAAACTCCTGCTCCCTGTATTCACTCTCTCCTCTTTGTTTTGTCATAAAAAAGAAATAGTATCAAAGGAGTTTAAATAAAATGCTGCTTCTGTGGAATGAATTAGCTCTTCAGTTAATGGTGCTAAATTCTAAATTAGTGTACTGATCACTAACTGATCAACATTAGTGTAATTTTAATGTGTTGAATATGTAAAATGACATCTTACAAATAATTCCTAAAGTTTACAATCATGTGTGAATATTTTTCATGCTACCTTTATTACCCATTTTATTATTTATTTTTGAAATGATTAGCTATGTCGATCAACTCATTGGTAGTCATTGTCACAAATCAGTCTCCTAACTATGAGATGGAAACTCATGTTACTTTTAAACAGAGTCTATGTTTACGTTTCGCCCACAGTTATTTACAGTATATTCTGTGATATATATATACATATTCGAAGACATGATAAGGCACTGTATCAAGTGCAAGAATTATTATATTATTATACTTTACCACTATAATTCCTTTAGTTGTGTGGTGCTCTGTTGATATTTCAGAGGTGCTTCCTCTTCTGTTGCAATCTTTTTTGTTTAGTCAGCCAGGTGTCTGACAAATCCAAAAAGATATGACAGTTCTTAAAGTATCCTATCCAAACTGAGAGTTCCCAATGTGTACGCCACCTACATATGGAAGTTTCCCTGAATGTGAAATGGAATGTGAAGTCTCTTCCTGGAAAGACGCCCCCTCACCGCTTACCTATTTACAGAGAGTAACAGGTGCAGGTTTCTGAAAACCAAGTTTTGGGAACCCAAGAGTGTATGTTGGGGTACTGCTGGAGTTTAATCACCTGCCATTGAGGACGGTCCAGCAAACTTTCCACAGCTTGTCTAACTGGCACTAGCATACCCACCAGAGCTTTGGTTTGCAAGGTTAACTGTTGCAGTTCCACCACTGCTAAGTTCTCTGAGACACTGTCCTGCATGGAGGGTGCTATATAAGTACAAGTTGTTGTGCTTGTTAACAATAGTTCAGTGGAAAGAATCCCTGCTTCCAGTGAAAAATCTAAATTTTCACATTTGTGTTGTTGAATAAAATAATAATTAATCCTTGCATTTAATATAGTGCCTTATCACGTCTTCGAGACATCTCAAAGAGATTCACAGAATATACTGTAAAGTGAATTGACTGTATATTTTGTGTTTGAAATGCAGCAGCTAATTGCGCACAGCAGTGTCCTACAAACAGTTGTTTTAAATACTTTTGGGGGTAGGATCATTATGGAAATAGGTGACAAAAAAGTTCCCTGATACGTGCTTCTCCGCACGTTGGCTTTTGTGGTATAATTAAGGGTGAATTATACATGGTTGTAATATCTGCAAATGTCCACAATCCATGATTCTACATTATTGACCCACAGGAAAACTCCGAAACATTGCCTCAAATCAATAACAGGTTTTTAATATTAACAGTCTGACATACAGCAACTTTAAAAGCAGAAAATGGCAAACAAGAATAAAATATCAAATAGTTTGTGAAAGACAGAATACAGTTGAACGCACACATATTATTAATTAACTTAAAACTGATGCAAATGAAAATATATCTCAATTCACAACAATATTAACAAAATGTATTCCATTATGCTTGAATCAATTCAGCTTTAAATTTTAATTTGCTGTCCAACATAATCATTTCAAAATATATTTCAGTAAACATTAACTTATCCGTTTGTATACTCATAAGCAAGTAATAGTAAGCGTTGCAAAACCATTTGGAATAGCAGTGTATGAATAGGTCTAAAGAATAGAAATATAAGTTTTCTATTAAAATTAAACCAAAATATTACATTCAGTAGAAATGTATTAAAAATATAGGACTTCTTGATACATCAAAAACAGGTTAAATGTCACATTGCAATCAGCAAACTGCATTATGGACAGTAATAAGTAAGATATTTTCTGTATATGTAAGACATTTAAAGTGGCTTTTGCTGCTCCTTGTACTCCATTCTGTAAAAGATGAAGCCAACAATGCCACAATACACCACGCTTTTCATCAGCAGTAGGGTGTAAGTGAAGGTGGTCAGTTGGAATGAGTTTATAGTTAGGTCGTCTGATGAAACAAAAAAGAAGTCTCTTCAACACACTTTGAATTGCACTTTAACACACTGCATAAGGAATTCAAAAATAATTTGTGCAGAAATGTTTCAAGGAAGTTACAAGTTAGAGGTAGGGTTAATCTAATGACAACATTTGCATTATGACAATCTAATGAAACAAGGTTCAAACAAGATGATCATGAGACATAGACTGGAAAAAAAAATGGAAGATTTCCTGGACATTTGAGCAATTGTATTTAAACCCTATGTGTTTTTAAATTGCCATCTTTTTGCGGTTTTGAATTTGAAATGTTTATAGATGAGTCTGATGAAACTTCTGAGCTCTTACCAATGTTTCAACACAACAACTTGCACTTATATAGCGTCTCAGAGCACTTAACAGTGGCGGAGCCTGACTTTAAGCTGGGGGTGGCGGGAGGGGGGGTGCAGCATGGGGGATGGCTGTAATCACGATTGAAGGGGAAAGTTTCCAGGTGGGACTTAAAAAAGGGAAGAGAGGGGATAGATTGAAGGAGAGTGTTCCAGAGTTTCGGGACATAGTGGCTGAAAGTGCGACCTCCGATGGTGGGGCGGAGGGTGCCAGGAACGAGTAGGAGGCTGGTGCCAGTCGAGTGGAGGTGCTGGGTGGTGGATTGGGAAGTGAGGAGGTTATAGAGTGAAGGGATTTGAATACGGGTGTGAGGTTCTTGGAAGTCGATCGGTTCGGTGATGGGGATCCAGTGTAGCCTGGCCAGAACTGGTGAGATGGGGGTACGGAGTTTGGTCTGGGTAAGTATGTGGCAGCTGAGTTCTGAACGAGCTGGATTTTTTGAATAGTAGAGCTGGGGAGACCGGCGAGGAGTGAGTTTGAGTAATCCAGGCAGGTGGTGACAATTGCATGCATGAGGGTTTAAGCTGCATTTGGGGGTAAGGTATGATTGCTGATCGGGACCCAGTAGAAACCAACAAGTTTCAAAACCTTTTTCTTTGTTTTTGACCCTTGAAAAATCTTGCATTTGATATAACATTAAAATCTGTCAAAGTGCTTCATAGGTAATTACTGTCAAGTGTAGTGTATTTAGAGGGAAGTTATGAGGAAGATCAATACCTTTGTCTTCATTCCGTGTCCCATTACAGCTTTTAGACTTTGCATTAGTTGAGGGTTCACTTTCTGTTTTCGAATGAATAAGGGAATCAATTACAACAATAACCATAACAAGAACATAAATTAAAATCAGTTAAATCCGATCGTTTCTCAAACCAATAAGGGGATAACTGATCCTTCTTTGAACACCCCTGTTCTATTTTATCAAGTCAAACAAAAAATAGAAATAGGACATACAAAATCTTATAGTCATACAAAAACAGCTGGGCTTGAAATTTACAAGCCAACAATTGGTGATGTTACGTTTTGTTTATTTCGCTTGGATTTTTAAAACAAATGAATGCAGTTAAAAAAAAGTCCATACATTGCCACAACATGATTTTACTACCTGACCAGGAGTTAACTTTTCAATTAGTTTTCAATGATACAAATCGTGGCAATAAACCTAAAGGAGCGCTTTGTGTTTTGTTTTGCAGCAATTGCTGAGTTTCCTGGCTGTTTTGCTCATAATTAACTAATCCATTTTTAAAAAATATAGGTATTAAAAAAGGTGTTAAAAATACAGGTATTTGATGTCATTGCTTCTATTGCTTTTTTTAAACTAAATTGCGTTTCCTCATTACAAAATCAACACTGTATTATGAAGAACTGGCCTTAAATGAAATGCATTTCGTTAACTTCATATCAGAAAAGGAAGAGCACAGTGACAAATTCAGTGCTGGATATCTGGTTTAAAAAATCTCAAGTAAATTATTCGTAAACCTGGGACAATATATTGTTTTGACGAAAGGTCATCGCCCTGAAACTTCAGCTCACTTTCCTCTCTCTGTAGATGCTGCCTGACCTGCTGAGTGCTCCCAGCGACTTCTGTTTTTATTTCAGATTTCCAGCCTCTGCAGCACGTTACCTTTTGTTTACAATATATATATTCCAATTTATATTAAACACTAGTTAAATAATAGCTATTTGTAATGAAGCTCTGTGCGTTAAGTGAAACATATCGACCTGAACACAGCGATCAATAGTTCTGATGTCAAAATACAGTGCAGGTTTCCCCTGACAAAAGGCAATACAAGTTACAAACGCAATAGAAACACGAACAGTACCTTTGGGAGATGTCTTCTTCCCGTTGGCGTGGACTTCTATGTTATCTTTTGAAGATTCATGTTGCACCCCGCATATGACTTTAGAATTTTTCCACTGAAGTTGTGTGACATTAAAACGGCTAATCACATAAGATGTTTCACCATTCTCCTTCTCAACGGGATCTGTTTCCCATTTACTCTGCTCGCCATCGGGTTTCCAGTAAACTTTGATAACATCGGGGTAAAAGCCAGTGATCAGGCAGACGAGCAGAAATTCAGTGTCGCTCTTGTCATTCTCGCGGAAAACTTGTATTTTAGGCGTTTCTGGTGACCTGTCTAAAAAGATTTTTTTTTTTTTAAAATGGATCAGAGCTCCAGATCTTGACATTTATGATCACAGTAAATGATTATTGACGAGCGTTAAACTTTGGTTCATGTCTCCTGTTTCTCTATCGGGAAGTGTTTTTTTTTGTGTGTGTGTATTCTATTTTTTCCTTTTTTTGGGGGGGATTTCAGCCAAGTTTTCAAATCGTACTTTAAATTTAAAATCACGAGGGGTTATTGACCCCTATTTGCTGGAGGTCAGAGAAAGCTCTGAAGTTAATGAACTGGTTTAATAGGGTGTCAGATCCACGTTGAACATTGCACAGTGGAAAAGTTTAATAATGTTTTGGTTCACCAAATTATAGGAGATGTGTTCTCTCCCTATACATGTGCTTTCACATTACTGACCTAATACCAACCTTCATTCCCACATAAGGCGTTCTCCCAGGTAGACATTGCGGAGATGGGTCGCTTGAGTAGTTATTTTAAGTCAATTACAAAGTTAGAGTTGTAGTTTTCTCCTAAGTGGGGCGATCCACTTTGTCAGCATTTTTTTTCTTTGCTCACGACATTTTAATAACGAGAATGTTGACCCACTCACCATATCTCCCCATCGTTTAGCGCAGATGGGTACAGTAATAATAAATAATAATCCTTGCATTTGATATAGCGCTTTTCACGTCTTCAAGACGTCTCAAAGCACTTCACAGAATATACTGTAAAGTGAATTGACTGTATATTTGTGGGCGAACGCGACAGCCAATTGCGCACAGCAGTGACCCACAAACAGTCGTAGATTGAAAATGACCAATTTATTATTGTTTTTGGTTTTGGAGGGATTATTATTAGGTTCTGTGTGGAGTAAGGAAACTTGCCCAAGGTTTTGCCCTGTCTGGGATTGAACTCAGGTCTCTCGCTTGCAAAGCGAGTACTCTAACCACTGAGCTACAGGACTCCACCGAGCGAGAATACTTTAGTGTTTTACCCCACGAATCGCCGGGATCAGCGCGGTCTCTGGCCACGACACTGACCGGGTGAGCTCAAGCCCGGGTTCAGAGCCAAACACGTTTCTGTCCTTACAAGTGACTACAAGCACCGTATTGTACAAGTGACAAGACCCTCACCACAACTACTCGCGGGGAGGGTTTGAAATACATACACATCTCCCTTTACTGTCAACAAATTATATATGTATTATAGTCAACATCGCCTGCTGCAGAACTCACCAGTAACTAGAAGTCTGGTCCCAGCACCGAAGATCTTTCTGTCGGATACTGCGCAGTGTTAAAGCGCCGCACAAGAACCCGCGCACCTGCCCTACACCCCGAGCTCACTGCAGCCTCACACAGAGCTGCGCTTCCAAGTTCAATTCCCATTCCCGTTGGAAAACGGGAGAAGTAACCCTTACTGTGGAGTCCTGTAGCTCAGTGGTTAGAGCACTCGCTTTGCAAGTGAGAGACCTGTGTTCAATTCCAGACAGAGGGCGAAACCTTGGGCAAGTTTCCTTACTTCACACAGAGCCTAATAATAGTCCCTCCAAAACCAAAAACAATAATAAATTGGTCATTTTCAATCTACGACTGTTTGTGGGACATTGCTGTGCGCAATTGGCTGCCGCGTTCGCCCACAAATATACAGTCAATTCACTTTACAGTGTGTTCTGTGAAGCGCTTTGGGACGTCCTCCCGACGTGAAAAGCGCTGTATCAAATGCAAGGATTATTATTATTATTATGATTACTGTTACTGTAATGCGATCGCTATTTTCTTCGTTACTCGGTCGCAAACGGACTCACTCACCAGTAACCACCAGTTTTGTCCCGGTTCCGAAAGTGTAATATCCCCCCACAGTGCTAAAGGGACGCGCAGTAACTATTTCTACACATTCCTCTACAAAACTAACTAAACACTCCTCTACATTTTTGTCAAAAGCTCCGATCTGAGACTTACCTGTTACAGTCAACTTTGTCCCAGCGCCCAAGACTTTAGTTGTTGACCACAGCGCTACAGTACTGTACAGTAACTCGGTAAATAAACCAGGATCGCGGCTGCCTGACTGCAGACCAGAGCTGTGACTGCTGCTGTAGGTCAGTCAGTCGGTCAGTCAGTCCCTTGAGCTATTATGGGATCTTCAGACAATATAGATGTGACCCCCAATAACAGCGAACACTGGATATTTCTCATCTTACTGCATTACTGAATAGAAACCTCCCAGTAACAAGGAGTTTAGTTCCTGTGCCAATAATCTTCGATCATAGCTACAGTACAGCGCAACAGCTATAAACCTGCACCGCCCCGGTGATCTATGTCTCTACCTATGGCTTTCCAGATGTTTCAAGTTTTCTACACTAAATATTGTGCAAGAACTAATACAGCCTTCCCCCTCTCTAGAGCATTCCCAAGGATATATGTACAAAGGCTTTCACAACGCATCTTTTTCGCAACAAGGAATTTAGATCCGGCGCCAACTATATTCCGGTCATTATAATACAACAACCACAGCAAAATTGCATTTGTAAAGCAAATGTATCCTCGACACAGAATAATAATCAATGTCTCACGCATGGTGCCATGCAGGGCGCTATAATAATTATAAAGCCACAGCGATGAATTGACTGTCTGTCTTCCACGTCTGTTAATATTTTGCTACACTACATACGGTGCAAATCGACGATAAGAACTATAACTGTCCCCTCTATAACAGCGTACACATATGCAACATCCACACTCACGCCGTGTATTCATTTACCTGTAACGATGAGCTTAGTTCCAGTGCCGAACACTTTGTAACCTGCACAGTGTTAAGGCGCAGTACAATAACTATAGTGTTACAGCGCTGGAGCGATTGGCTGATCAACAGGTCTTTTAATATTTTCCTACACCAAATACTGGGCCATCGCTGATAAGAGCTGCCCCCACGAATACTCTCAGATAGCAGCAGAGTAGATCCTCGCAATTTACCTTTCCTTACCTGTAACAAGGAGTTTAGTCCCAGTGCCGAATACCATCCTTCTGCCTCCAGCTGTACACCGTGTTACAGCGCAATACATTAAGTATGGGAGACAGGACCCTGTCGCCACTGAATGTTCTCAGGCTGTTTGGACACTTTGGACACCAAACCATGTGTTGTGCCATCACTAATAATAACTAATCCCCTAAAAACATGCACACAATATGTAACGGTGTTAACACATAACACAGTGACTCTCTTACCGGTGACAATGAGTTTAGTTCCAGTGCCAAATATCTTCCGCGAGTAACCAGTGGAAGCACAGTGTTACAGTGCCATACAATAAATATGGAAGATACGACCCAGTAACTGCTGAATGATCTCCAGACCTTTTGATATTTTCCCAAACCACATGCCGTGTCATCACTAACACGAACTAATGACTGCCCCACAATAACCTCCCGGCACATTGTACCTGCACCACAGAGACTTACCGGTGACAAGGAGTTCAGTTCCAGTGCCGAATATTTGCTTTCCATAATATCCAGAGGAGTCCACGGTGTTACAGTGCAATACATTAACTAAAGGAAAGACACTATTCTCTGCGGATCTTTCAATATTTTCTAACACCACACGATATGCCATCACTAGTAACTGCTATGACCCCTTCCTCGCTCTTTCCTTCTCAAATATTCCCGCATTGATAATCTAACGAAGGGTTGATTCACTTCCCTTTCTCCATAGATGCTGCCTGACCTGCTGAGTGTTCCCAGCGACTTCTGTTTTTGTTTCAGATTTCCAGCATCTGCAGTATTTTACGTTTCATTGATATTCTTACCTGTTACAAGCAGTTTAGTCCCAGTGCCGAATATTTTCTTATCAGCATATCCATATTCGTTTAGCACAGTGTTACAATGTCAGACTAAAACCTCATAGCTCACACATTGCTAAGATGTTCCAGCACCAACAACAGGTCACAGCTCAATACCTCTGCACTCCAACCCTCAGTTTGGATGTTGTAGTCAAGCGGAACCTGTATAATCTCCCCTGAAACTACCATAATTTCACAAGAGAGTTACAGATCCGCCTTCAACAAGCCTGAACTCTCGGTGTTATAGTGTCACTGCTGTCTTAGAAATCCACCAATATCGGATTAACGAACCAACAAAAAGGTAGTCAGTCGTAAAGTAAAGTGTACTGTATAGAAGCTTACCTGTAACTATCAGTTTAGTTCCTCCGCCGAACACCTTACCAGACGCCCACAGTGGTACAATGCTATACAATAAATGCACGGCAAGCAGCACCCCTGACCCAGCACTCACCAGTAACACCAGGTTTAGTTCCAGTGTCACCGATCTTCCATGAATTCAACCTGGAGACTCATTACTTACAGTAACAAAGCAGTACGTGCTGCTAACTCGGTGACATTCCCATTCAGTACCTATCCCCCACACCCCACTCCCACCTTATTCAGCTCCTCACCTCACCCCCATCCCAACCACAGTTAGGGACCCAGGCAGTTAATTACACAAAGCCCTTTGAGATATCTCCATGAGGTGAAGTACATGGAAACTGTTATTGCGGTCCACGCCAAATGCAGATAACCATTTAAAATAAGCTCACAGAAATCCGCAAGTAACGGGAAAGTTGTCCAATAGCCGCAGCCTTACCTGTTACAATGAGTTTAGTTCCAGTGCCGAAATACTTGATCCATGCACCCGAGGTATCACAGTGTTATATCACCTCACAAGAACTAACCACAATCCAGTGATGCCACTAACACAGCAGCTTACTTTCCTTACAGACCTCACTGAGAGCTTGGAAGGGTAAACTCCAACAATTGGCAGTTGGCAATTGCCTGAACCAAAGCATCATCATTTGCACAGCAAACTCCCCTGTAACGATGAGCTTAATTCCAAACTTTGCACTTTTTCAACCAAACGTCAAAAGTAACTGGTGTTCATAGCTACCTGTATTATCAACCTTGTTTTTAATCTAATTTTCCAGCTCTTTCCCCATATCCCTTAATATTTTTAATATTTAAATTGTTCAACTGCTCATCCAAATATTTAATTGGCCGGGAATCCAACCCCAACCAACGGGAAAGGCAACGTTACACCTTACATTCATGAACCAGGATCTTCCTAGTTATGGGTTGCTAAACACGCCACACTTACACGTAAACACATGAACATTGTTCCTCAAACCAAATAGCTTACCTGTAACAATAAGTTTAGTTCCAGGACCGAATATCTTTCTCCATACACCTCCAGTTACCACAATATTACATCACCATACAATAACTATACCTTCTGCCTTTAAACTTGTCAAGAGTCTCACTCCATCACAATATCACGATGATCTACTCAATACCTTTATTCCCATTGCAAACTTTACAGCAATTGTAACTGCACAAAAGCCCAAAATTGGAAAGTCGTTTCTGATGGGAGAGAAGTGACTGGTTTTTGCAGGGTCCGGTCCATGCCCTCCCCCCACTGTAGACAAATTTACTTGGCACCACATTACTTTCAAATATAGGATTGATTAACGTTTGAACAGACAAATCACTTATCCCTTATACGATATACAGAATCAAAATCATATTACCAGATTCAACTCTGGGCAGCAGCAACAGGTCCTGGAACTCCTGCAATCCACCACTACACCCACTGGAGAAAGCCCTCTTTCCTTACAGACCTCACTACTCCTCCCCTTCCCT